AAAAAAACCCAAATCTATTGAATAATATCATAATAAAAATTATATTAAACTCGATTACTGTAATTTAGTTTACTTGATGTCAGTTATGTCTGTGGTTATTATTTTATGTGTAAACAATGTAAACAGTGTAGGCCTATATTTAAAAGAAAGGAGAGATGAAATAAATATGCGTAAAACTCCTATTACATAAGAGAAAAAATAATAAAATGATAATGTGGATGATGAATTGATTTAGATGACTGAGATGGTGATGATGATATTAATGATGATGGCGATGATGACGACGGTGATGATTGTTAATAACAAATAAATAAATGAATAATAGTAATAATAAGGATGATGACAATTTTTATAAAAGTGATTATTACAATTATGAATTATCCTGACAAGCGAAAATGTAGAAGCTTTGTTTTGATTTTACCAACACCCTTTTTTATTCACTGTTTTTATAGTGGCAGTTGAGAGGACATACATTATGAAAGCGTGCATCATATCTTGGACATTAGTGCTCACGCTGACCACCCTTACACCATGTGTGCTAGCCGCAACCTTCGCCACAGAACTCGTGCTCTTGAGCAAGACATCCACGTCACTGACCGTCTCTTGGACTGAAGCCTCTGGTATTACAACTGCAACGTATTACGTTATAACGGTGGATGACTCGTCAAACACGCGCGTACAAACGACGAACATTACGGACTTGACAACAACCAATTTGACCGTCACAGCTCTGCAGCAAGCGAAATCGTATACATTTACTTTGACGACGTACGATTCCGACGATATGATGATCGGCTCTCAATACACGTTGCGTGTAGCTACCGTTTACGATACTTGGAATACAAAAGCTATCATTGCAATAGCAGTTGCGTCGTTCATTCTGCTCGTTCTCTGTATCGCGCAGTTGTGTTCTATGTTATCTAATCAAGATAAGGACAAAGAAAGGTGGAAGAAAGAAGTTCTTCTGGTGAAGCAAAAACAGAAAGAAGAAAAACGAAAAAACAAAACAGATAAGAGCCGAAGAACAAGCCGCACAAGAGAAGATGTGGACGAAGTTGACGTTCCGATATAAACACCTATAAGCCACCGTTTAGTATGTAGGCCTACTTTAATCTTCGTAATCACCATCATCGTCGTCATCATCATCATCATCATCATCATCATTAACAACAACATCAACAGCAACAAAGTCATCATATCGTAGAATCGCTGTCATCATCATCTGCATCATTGTCGATTCTCCTTTTAACAACAGGTCACGGTAGAAGCAATGCCTTAAGTATACTGTTACCATTTTGTTTTGTTTTTTTGTTATTAATAATCGACCACGATGACTACTCCATTACCAAATAAATAAAATACTTATATCAATAGTGTTGATACATTTGGTTTGTTTAAAAAGCTAAATAATAAATTGTACTTTATTAATCGTCATTTGCATAGGGTATATTAAAAGTATAATGCATTTTGATGTTTACATTCATGTTTTATAGACGATTTTAAGTTCTATTTTTAGTGTCTGTTTTATTCATTTTTTTAATAATAATTCTAAATGGTATATTAGTTTCTTATAGTAATTTGAATTGATATATATCAGTTTTGGTTATAATTTTTAAATTAATATTTTGGGTTTGTTCTTTTTTTTTATTCCTACTAAATTTCTTTCAGGTATTCATGACAAATGCAATGATGTGTTTGTTTCAAATAAGCTTTATTGGAATAATGTATCCGATGAATGAACGTCAGAAAAAATAGAAAGTACACTAACTCTGAACTCTGTCGGTTTGCTAGCATATCATATTTGATTCATGTTACTGTATTTGTTATGTTATTATTTTATGTATATAAACGAAAAAGTCAACCATATTCTATAGTGTCTATTTTGATTCTTTGTCCACTTTTTTTATAATTACGTATAAAGCCGGACACTCACTGCGCCGTCCGACGGTCGTACGACCGTCGCACGACGAATTCACATTTGCTTCCGGCGAGCGATAGACGACGCAACGCCGTCTACTGATTTTCAGTGGCAATCTGAACGGATCCTCATTAAAATGACGATCCGTTGGGTCCGCGTCTTCGCGTGCGTTCTTCGTCGCGTTGCCGTCGCCCGCAGTGAGTAACCGGCTTAAAAAGGCCTTTGTGCTTATAAGTATTTCGTTCACGAATGGCCCAATAATTTATAAGTTTCAAAGTGGAACGTTCGTTTCTTGGGCGCACCTTGGCTGAACGTAAGCGTGATCAAGTTCAGTTTCAACTCCGTGTAAGGCCAAATCACACTACATCCTATGAACTCACCCGACGCGATTTATCGTCGGCCGCCGGGGAGAGTCTCGGGTGGTCGTGCATGCACTGTCCCCGACAAAGTAGGGAGCTTTCGATTTGTGCGACGCTGTAACGGAATCACTCATGCGTTACCGTCCTACCTGGCGCCCTACGTTCTCTGCATACGTAGATTTGGCCAAATTGCGTTCAAGAATCTACTCGACGAGGTGACCTTAACGTTCTCGCATGCGCAGATGACTTTTACTGACGTCATTACGTTCTACGTCCTACCGTCGTCGTGAAATCGAAAGCTCCCTAGTGACGATGACACATCGCATCCCGGTAATTTGCGTCCCCGGCTTAATAAGCAGCTTTCGATTTGGACGACGCGGCGTTCTTCGACGGGCAGTGGAGCGTGAAACCGTACTGCGCATGCGAATACACGGGGAAGTTGTTCGTTGTGTGGATTTGACAACGGGCTTCAAGCGATTTGGCGTTGTGTTGACAACGGCAACGCGAGTTTTATAAATACACGCTCGCTGGGGGCGCCTGCATAATTGATCACGCGATACGAGGGAGCGCGTCGTCCTGTAGATCGAAACAGCTTTGATGTTCAGACGGAAGTGCATAGTACGACGTTCATGGTTGACTGAATTCCCCGTCGCAGCTCCCCGCGTCGCCCATTTCGAAAGCTCGCTATTGTCGAACGTCAAGAGGCAAATACAACATTTTAGTACCCCGTATCGGCGTCTGATCGCCGCAAACCATAGGCGTAGATCCCGGGGGTATGGGGGATATATCCCCCCAATATTTGACAAGGGGGGGGGGCGGAATGGTCCATTGTATCATGCCCCCCCCAATATTTTGACTATGTATGGGATAAAATGGAGCTTTACACACTTCAAAAGACTGTCACAGAAATAATTTGCACTGTCTTATGCGCTTACAAAGATGAAAATTAGCATAATGTATTAATGTTGATAACAAAATTATTTTATCTGGTACCAATCTCTCTTCTTTACTTAGATGTTGGATGTGCTTGCAAAGAGAGCCACATTTCACACTGAAGGGTGTGTACGACATCAGTAATGTTATGTCAATTCCAAGAATGTTTAAGGTTATATCGGTTGATGAGGAATTTATTGATTAGGCCTATAATACTAAATTGCATCAATTTATTTTGCAAAAACAAGGTTTCCAGCTTCAGAGGGGGGCACATCCCCTGGGCACATTGGCGCTAACACCAGGCGCGTAACAGGTGTCTTGGGTCAGAGTGGGTATTTATTTTTTTAATTTTTTATTTCAACCATTTTTAAAGAAGGTAACCCTTCTAGTTTAGCCCAGTAGGTTAACTGATATTCAGGGGCCCTCTTTAATAAAATTAAAGAACAATACAAACAACATCATTACAACATAATAATGATAATAATAATAATAACATACAATCCTCATTTCCCGGTTAGTAATTTACCATACCCACCCCACCCCACTCCCCATATAGAAAACAATACGACATAGGGCTTATCTTATTTTAATATAGGCCACACACGTGTGTTTGAAACTAAATATAAGCATTTTCATCATGGTTTTATTTATTACAAACATATTCTTTCACCATCTATACACATTGAGGCCCTTCTTTTAGGTTAAAATGATCTATCTTAAATTTGTCTTTCTTGAGTTTGGGACTATTACTGTATGTGTTTAAATAACTTAAAAAGATAAAACTAAAAAAGCCCTAAAAATGCGCGCCTAGCGCGCAAAATATTTTTGTGTTTTTAATTCTAATTTCGTCGGAATTGATGAAAACTCCCTAAAATGTGCAGTTTATAGAGGAAATTGGCCTACCGTA